GGTCTCACCGCATGAAATCCACCGTCTCCACGTCCACCGAGAATAAGTGGAAGAGGGGCTCAGCAGCACCCGCAGCAGTAATAGCACCGTCAGCACCGATATCTTGTGCGGCTGCCGGTGGCAGGGGCTCCCATCTGCGGCGAAGTGGAAGTGGGAGGCAACCGACCCACGGGTCATCACGGTGGCGGCAGCAAAGGGCCTGCGACCGAGCCATGGGCCGCTGAGCCACAGGCGCAGCGGCTATGCACGCCAGATCAGGCATTCGGCTAAAGCCACCCCACCCCTGCGCGAGTCCTATCCTCCTTCCCCCATACCAACCTAAAAACCCTCCCCAACCCCAACCTACGCAGAGCGCTGCTTCCCCTCGTCGTACACATGACGTCAGTGGCCGTACAGAGCTTCCTTGCCAACTTTCTTCCCAAAACAGAACACGATACGGCTCACACAGCCCACCGCAGGCCGCCCCAGGCGAGAGAAGCCCCATTACATGAAGGTCTCCAGACCCACGCAGAGCATGAGCTGCCTTAACCGCTCCGTCTTCCCTTCCCCTATCCCCTTAACCTCCCCCCCTATATCCCATTTCTCAGTCGCTACTCCGGGCGTCATGTCGGCAATTGTATCATCACATCATGAGGGCCTTTGCACATAACTCCCCCTCCCCCCAATTTCCCCCCAATTTCCTCACCCACTCACCTGATCCAACAGCTGTGTCCTCCAACACCCGCAACCGCAACCTCGTCCGCAGCAGCTGTCCCAGCAGCAGTAGCAGCAGCGGCAGTTGTCGCCTCCGCCATTCGCTCCTCCTCCGTCAGCTCCCGCCACAGCAGACCACCTCCTGCTGGCGCCTTGCCGCACCGACCTGTCCAAGCAGTAGCAGTAGCAGTAGCACTGGCCGTAGCAGTAACATCCGGTCCCGCAAGTCCCGCAGCAATAGTGCCGCCCTTGGCCTTGGATGCAGCGGTCGAACGAGTCCTGGTCCCAGCGTTACCACGCGCTCTGCCTGACACCTCCCGGCCTAATGTGGACTTGACTGCTGCTGCCGCCGCCTCCACCTCCACCTCCGTCCCGGCCTTCGTCTTCACCGCTCGTTTCTTAATGGTGGTTTCGGATCTAGGAAGTGCCTCCGCCTCCGCCGCTGATTTGACTTTCAGCCGCGCCAGCCGAACGGCCAACACCTCTAACTCTGGATCTGCCTCCGAAACCTGAGGCATCGGAATTGGATCTGGATTTGGGTCCGAATCCAGGGCGCTGCTTGAATCCGACAGCTCAATGACCACCACCTGCCTCTCCTCCGTCCCCTCCTGCTGGGACCGCACGTTTTCCACCCCGTGCTGGCTGCTGCTGCCGCCTCCGAGTCCACCGCCGCCGCCTCCGTCGCTTACTCCTGCTATCGGAATTTCGGAGCCGACTGCCGCCACCTTCTCCCCCTCGGCCCCCTGCACTTCAACATCATGGGAGCTGTACGACATGTACGATGCATGTGGCTGCCCGATTGGCGAAGGCAACCCAGTAAAAGGCGTGGAAGACGCAGTGGCAGCGGCGCCGGGCAACTGTCGAAGAGTTGGGACTCTGGAGGTCGTGTAATGTCCAGCGTTGCTGTTGCTGCTGCTGTTGTTGTTTGTGGTGATGGGAAAGGAAGTCCGGGCTTCCGGAGGCGAAGCTGGTAATTTGGGTAAAGTGGGTGATGTTTGCCGCCGGAAAGAGCTCGTCTCACGTTTCATCGGCCACGCCCCCGAAAGCGCTGTAGGTGCCGGGGCCCGCACCTCTTGAGAGCTGGCGGACTGAAGCTGTGTCCAGCAGGGAGCTGAGAGCCCGGTGAGATGCGTCGGCATGGCTGCTTGGACAGTGGAGTTGGGGGAACGAGGGGAAGCTGCACCGGCCGTGGCCAAAATCGCGTCAGAAGCTCCGGTGTTGGGCTTGGTTGCAGCTACACGGGCATAGACCTGTTGGAGCGTGGGCTGATTGGTTTCGGGCGCCTTAACGTTTTTTTTACATCTGGTGGTTTGAGCTCGCGGCGCTGGGGCGATGGCACCGCGTGCGCTATTGGTGTTGCTGCTGCTGATGGTGGTGAAATTGCCGCAGCCCAGAGCGGTGGAGCCGAAGCCGCCGTTGCTCGATTCACTACGTTGCATTTCGATTAAGGGAGAAATATCAGAGGACTCTGCACTAGTATTTAGCGCTGGGCACGGCGTGGGGCTATGTGCAGGTGACTCGGCGTCTTGCCTACAGTTGCCGAAGGTGATGGCTAGTAAAACAGCGTAATAAGGCGTGACTCACAATTAGTTAATGATAGGAATTGCGAAAATGCAGCAAGATCGGCAGAGCATTGAATTGCGTAAGCAGCCCGCGAAATTGGATCCAAGGCGAGAAACCGTGCTTCCGACACCAATAAGTAATTGGTAGATAGCAAGACATACCGTACCTATAATCCCGCAATCCGCATGGCCCTCCTGCAAAGGTCTTCTGTGCAGCTTCGTGAGGCGACGGATTCGGCCGTTGCCTCAATACAGCCGTTATCAGCCGGCGAAGCATATTGGGGGCATCTTGCAAGGCGGTCACGCACTTTTGCCTTGAGGATAATGCCGAAACATTTGGTGCCGATAGTCGTTATTTCGTTGTTTCCGGTCCAGTACGGTGTTACAAACAAAAGCCTGCTAGCAACCATCGCGTTTTCTTGGTGCTGAAAGATTATCACCAGGAGCCATGAAATGCCTGCCTGAAATGCCTGCCTTATTTCGCGCAGGGGGAAGACCAGTAAGGGTTGTGTAGTCATGCTTGTCCTGCTTGTCCTGCTTGTGTAGTCATCGAACTCTGCGGCTTGCTAGGCAGCGCACATTTTGATACCCACATACCTCCCAAACAGATCCATGCGAACATGGATCTTAGGTACTGGCCAACAAAATGGCGTGACCTCTCATTGATTGACTACCAAACAGCGCAGTCCTTGGGAGCCACAACTTTCATACTCCTTTTCCACTTGAGGTTTATCGCTTCTGCCTTCACAGTCTCCACACCAAGCCACTCTGATGCTTCCTTGCGGCCGCTCTGGTCATCTGAAGGAAAGCCTCCTCCCCCGTGCGTGGAGGCTGACCCGCTTGCCGAGGTTGGCTTGCATGATAGTAGCGGTGCTGGCCGCACTGCAAGTGGCCAGTGCTAGCCCAACCCTGTGGCCACTCGCGCGGCACCGAGGGCGACCCTTCTGTTCTGTTTGCCGTTGACGGGAGCCTGGGTGCTTTCGGTCTGAGCACGGTGAGCGCGCCTACGCCGCGATTGGTTTGGCGGATGAAACCCAATGAGGGGTTTGAGGTGGAAATCTTGGCGGAAGCAGAGCGCGGGGCAGGGGTTGGCTTACCTTGGGAAGCCTCCTGGTTGAACGGGGCGACGGTACAAGAGCGGGGCTTGTGTAAGGCCCTGCAGACTGGAGCAAGTTTTGGCTGAGAACCTTTACGCCAGGACCTTATTTCGGGGGTTAATGGGGGAAAGGAGCGCGCTGCTTGCAGGTAGCGGGCACGTCGAGAAGGAATTTTATTACAGTGCTGCCCGGTGGGCCAGTAGGGCGGGCAAGAAGTCACTGCATGCCGGCGCCCCGCGGGACAAGGCCCTGTCTGGCGGATTTGACACCCTGCGAAGTGGCCATTTGGAGAAAGGCCCGGACAGGCGCTTGTAGCGGTGATGCTCGGTGTTCATTGACTCTTTGTACAGCCTTCAACTTCGCTGCAGACTCTCCTTCAGCACTGAGGACTGAAGAGCTCCAGTGTACCTTCCACCCACCGGATGCCTCCGACCTTCCGAGCCGTACATGTACGATGGCACCTTTTCCCTCCCCCCATTTTTCTTCTCTACGTTTCCCCTCCGGCCGTGTTCATAAATTCAACGCTCCCTTGGGACTCTCGTTCCACATCGCATCGGTCCAGGCCTCGATCGGGTGCATGGCACGGCGTTGGCTTGGAGTCCCTGTTCCCGTCCCCGTCCTCAGCTTCCGCATTCCTCGTCCTACTGGTTCTCCTCGCCCTCGTTTCTTGATAATGCACCGCCGTCTTCACCTCCTCTCCTCCGCTTGAAGTGATCGTCCTTTCCGTTTCCGCCACACACGTTCCAAATCCGGTGCTTCCAGAGACGATTTGCCTGCCCGTTGGGAAGATGTTAGGCTGCTGGTTACATGTGGGAAGGAGCTAGGAAGGGAAAGGATGGGAAATCGGAACTAGGTGCCGAACGAGCACGGTTTCATAGAGGGGGTTGGCGACGTCGGCATGTATGTGCAGGATCTGGCTCCCTTCTTCCATCCGTCATTCGGATGCGCCGAATTTCTGGGGCTCGGCGGGTGGGGAACCCTCGGCGGCGGCGACGCGTCTTGGGGCGAGTCTTGGTATAACCAGTTACAGGGGCGCGCGCATACACGTGCACTCCTGTTTGCACACTGTGTTCTCACCTCTGATGGTGTAGTAGCGAGAGACTGTGCATGCACTGATATTTTTTACCACTGTAGCTGCTATTGCTGTTGTTACTACTGCTACTGCTTATTACTGCTGTAATGGCTATTACTGCTGCGGCTGCTACTGCTGTCCTTCATCCGCCATTCACAGAAGTGTGACCAACAAACGTTTGGCCGTTTCTAGTGGGGGAGAGGCCACCAAGGTACTCTGACCCGCTGTGTTAAACTATCCATCTACGGGGAAGTTGGTCACGACGTAGCTTTGCAGCCGGGACTCGCCAGCAGGACGGTCCCACGGGGCCCCAACGACGTTGCGAGCAAGCAGCATCTGGTCCATGGACGCATGACGGTACAATTGCCGTACTGGAGAGTCACCGACGTGGCTTTGTATGGGTCTGATAGTTTGCGTGGAGACTGCGTGGCAAGGTTGAGGGACGGGCATTGATGACGAAGGACTGGCTGTTCAGCTAGATAAGCTTCCTGGCTGGCTAGCTGGCTGGTTGGCTGGCTGGCTGGCTGGCTAGCAATCGCAATTAACGTCATCACTGTCGTCACCATTGTCATCATCTCAGCTCCGTGGCCAGAACCAGGCAACTGCAACGCCGCTCAGCGCAATGGCGGTTCCTACCCAATCGCCCCGGTCGGGGCGATCACCGTCCACGGCCCAGCCCCAGCCGTAGCTCATGATGATGAAGATACCACCGTACACCGCGTAAACGCGGGAGAAGGTGGCTTCCTCGGGCTGCAGTGTGGGAATGATTCCGTAGGCCACCAAGACGAGGGCGCCTGATTGAGATTACGAGTTAAGCGATAGGGGGTGGGTGTCTCTCACTAATAAAGTGGGCGGCATATGTTTCCGCAGCGACCAGGATGGGGGGTTCCACAAAGCTCGGTGTGCAGTATTTGTACAAGGCTGGGGTAGGCCTGAACGGGTTCAGCTTGTACTGCATGTTGGGCCTTACGGTACGGCAGCCTAGGTAGTCCTGACATGGACAAAATTCTTTGGAAAATAAAACAGATGTGGTCCGAGTTATACATCTATTTAATGTTACCTGAAATGAAATAATACCAGGGCTTCTTGTTCCGAACAGCCTGCCAAACTAGCCATCCGCCGCCGATTTCAGCCAAGCCCGCGAGAATGAAGACACCAAGCGTCCAGAACACTTTCCCAGCAGTCCATTTGATGCCCGCAGCTACAGGCGCCTGCGTCACTTGAACAAGCGGCGGTTCTGCTTGCACATCCGTCGTGTTGGACCCTTGAAATGTAGCTTCCACTGGCATGACTAGCCAGCAATTTGGACGTTGTAATCATACGCGTGCATGGATGGAAAAAGGCATAAGTCCGTACGGCTTCCATAAGCGCTATTATTAATGCTCCTTCCCGTGCATCCGTGCATCCCAACGAAAGGTCCTCTTTCGCGCATTCCGCTAACGTGAGACTCATGCATAACCTTAACCTAAGAATATTTAGGTAGTGCTTATAAGAGCGGAAAACGTTCAAAGCTTAGCTTGAACTGCTTTTGATAAGCTTCATATTAGCTAATTTACCATGAAAAATCACACACTTTTACATTTCTTTGTTGTAGAGGGTTACCTTTGGGATTGGTTAACTGCTGCAGCAGGCATCGTCATTAACCTGATAGTTCCAGCGCATGCGCTAAAGCCGTTAGACCGATATTATAGCTCCACGGTGAGGTGTACGGCCGGACTGGTCCTCAATCGGCAGCCTTTCATGTGCAAAAGCAGCACTGCCAACCATTACTGTGCTCAGGCTAGCTCTCAACAGCTCCGCTGAAGTCCGTTCCCTTCCCACCCCGTATAGCAGATGCCTCTCGACATTGCGTTCAATCCATCACGATATCTGTCTGCTGAAAAAAGCTCGCGCTCATCTGGGAAGTCAAACCACCTGCTTGCCGCGGTCCTATTGTCGAGCTTCGACACGTGCTCGCACGTGCAGCTTGCTCGCGTCCGGCGTTCCCCCTGCCGTGACCACGTGTCCTTTCTTTGATGCCCCATGTATCCTCCTGGCTAGGTCCTTTCCAACCGGTCCCAGCCTTCTGCCGCCTAGCCTTAAATGCCTTTGCCGCTACATTTGTCTCCTTCCCACGGCTTGGGTTTTTGAAACACAAGATTGTACATCTGTTTGTGCACTTGCCTTTGGCTCTCCGTGTCCTCTGTCACGTGCATCACTGCACAACTTCCCTCACTCCCCTTCCCCGGCATCCGTCCCTTCCCTCCCTGCCGTACATCCAGGATCCGACATTGTCGTACCCCGTTAAGGGCTCCTCCGTACCCTCTTCCGCGCTATATGTCCTGGTGTTCGTGCTTCCGGCGGTGGTGTTCGCAATGACGGCTGCCATCAGGCGGTCAGGTGGACTTGTGGATTGGTGAGCGGTTCGAGACTGACTTTAATGGGCTGGCTGGCTGGCTGGCTGGCTGGGAACTGTGGCTGTGTGGAAACTGGTGGGGTAATTACCACGCGTGGAAAGTGGTTGGCTCGGTTGATTAAAAGCAAGGGCTCCTTTTGAACCCTCGCGCTCTGGCAGGGCCACGTCTGACACGTGTATTCTTGTTGGGATGGGATGAACGTGGCAACCCCCGCTTGGGACACCGACCTGCTTTGAACACCCGCTGGGTGGTTGCCCTTTCGCGGCGCTTGCTTTGCTTGCTCTCCCTCCGAGGGCACCTGGGCTCCGTAGCGGGACCGCGCCCGCTACTGCTGCTTGCTGTCGCTGCCCTTGCCGTTGTCCGTCCGCTGCCTTCGCACATACATACATAATCAACTTGCGAGCTGACCAGTAACTAAGTTGATGCGCCGTTGATCCGCTAGATTTGGTTGGATGCTGGTGGTGAGTTGCCGAACCCAACGAATACATTCTGAAGTCGGATGGGGTGACGGATTAGGGTGCCCCTCTAGCAGGGGAGAGCAGGGACTGCCCCGGGAAAGGGGGCCGCTGGCGAAGTTAGCCACCCTATAACAACATACATACGTAGCTCTATCCCGGTAACCCTGACCCTCCCATCACCCGGACCCGCAATAACCACACTGCTGATGCCCACGGGGACTAAAACCTTGCTCACGCGAAATCGCCATGCATGTACGACTACGTCTTCTACTGCTGCTACTGCCGCCATGGCCGCTGCTACGGTTGCTGTTACTGCCGCTACTTGTGGCGTCAGGCACCACGCGGCTTTGAGCATTGCCGAGGGTTTTGCACTCGTGAGTCGGTTAGTTCGTTACCTGTTGGTTAGTTAGCTTCTTAGATAGAGTTTTGTTATGAGGCATGAACAGCGGAGGCGCACCCTCAGAAGCCCTTCCTGAGCTGTCCAACTGCCCGGGTGGGGCGTCACACCAATCCTCTCGACGCCGGCATTTCTTGAAGCCTCCGGAGCCTCTCCAGCCGATGCACGCCTTAGGGCGCTTCGGATCCCTGTTTATTGTCGTGTTTTGTGTCTGTATGTATCCATGTGCGTACGTATGGACGGAAGGACACAACCCATCGGTGATTATGTATGTATGCATGTACGATTTAGATGTCACTGTGGGTTGGTTAAGCCGGGGGCCGAAGCCGAAATACAGCGGAAGGGTCGGGGGTACGCAGCACAAGCCGCGGCTAGTCTTGTGTGGTACCCCACCCCGGCGCCGACTGGTAACACACTACGCAACCGTTCAGCGGCGCATCTATTCAGAGAAATGTAATAATATACTAACAACTTTAATCATCCTTGTATTGCTGACATCCAGATTCGAACTGGAGACCTCCCGCTTACTAAACGGGTGCTCTATCCAACTGAGCTATGCCAGCTGTTCGTTGTATTAATTAGTGTTCATAAATTGTTAGTAGCCAACCGGACCAGAGATAAACATAATACCTTTCCCAAGGAAGTTAGCATTATGGTTTGCTTTGACCCATCCTGTATACGACACGTACCCGCGCGTAACCTTGCATACATACATACATACACGCAAACCCCCTGCAGGCTACCGGATTCAAGCGGTGGACTAATCTAGTGGGGGTGTTGCGACCCAGCTGGTGAGGTGGGGCGGGATGGCTGTTTGGGATGGGGCCGGGGTGTGGGGTTAGTTAAAAAGGGGGGAGGTGAGGGGCCGGCAAGGACCGTCAGCCCGGCATGACTGTTTGCTTTCTAGATGTTTCTCTAGATGCTTCTCTGAAATGCTTTGTATTCGTGTCACTCATCTGGTGTCCGGCTGTCTAACCCCCTCGCCCCCCTGGGGGGCAGGCTGGGCACCGTCCAGAAGGGTGTGGTGGGTGACGTGGAGGATGCCCGTCTGTCGTACCCCAGCGGCCACTCGGCGTACATGTTCTTCTCCATGACCGTACTTTCGTTGTACCTGCTGGGGAAGCTGCAGCTGCTGAGCCGACCCAGCCAGGTGCGTGTTGCGGGGGGGGGAGGACTGGGGGTAGTGGGGGGCATCGGGGGTAATAGTCCGGGCAGGGGTGGGGTTTGAGGGTGTGACTAAAATAAACTTAAACCTGGCTCGAACGTGAATACGAACACCTCCAGCGGCGTTACTACCTTTGTAATGAATCGGGGAAGGGTCCTCTGAGGGCCATCAGAGGGCCCTAGGGGGGGTGGGGGTAAAGAGACGAACAGAAACGAGAAAATAAAGCGGCGAAGTCACCGCCAGGCGACAGCGAAACCCGGCAACCATTTCCCTCCCCAGCTAAGTCCCAATAACCCGATAGCCCCGACCCTGAACGTACCTTACCGGCCATCCCGCCAACCAGGCCCCGCCACGTGACTACCGTCCCAATCCAAACACCGCATTGAAACCCCCTGAGCCCCCCTACTGCTGCTCAATTTCCCACTCCCTTCCCTTCCCTTCCACCCCAAACCACAGCTCTTGTTTCTCAAGTCCGTACTGGCATTAGCCCCACTGGCACTGGCACTGTTCGTGGCGGTTAGCCGGATCGCCGACTATAAACACTCCCCCGCAGATGTGAACGCCGGGTGGTAAGATATGACGTCGGGGCGCACCGTGCCGTGTCTGGGTTGTGGGGTGGACGGGGTGGCGTGTTTCGGGTTCGGGGGGAAACAGGCGGGGTGGGTATAGGGGGGGAGAGGGGGGAAGGGGTTTTTAGAGCCGTAGGGCTTCATCAGCAGAGGACATTTTTGGCGACGTCCGATGCGCGAAGGTGTTGGTAAGTCCTGCTCCCGACTTCTCCGACAACACCGCCTCTCGGTCCTCCTCGCCACTGTCCCGACTGACCGACCCGTCGTCCTACTCCTCGCCCGCCTCCACTTGCTGCCCAAACCCCCATCCCCATCCCCACCCCATGTTATTGCTTTGGGTTCCTTCCCATGTATGCACTTAACCCCCCCCAAACCTCTCTTCCCCCCGGCCCCTCAAGGTTGCCTTTCCCTCATCCAAACTACCATCTCCCCCCTCCCTCTCTCCCCGCGTGGCCCTTTTCCCCTCTTGTTTACTCCCCACTCTTTGTCCACAACAACTCACCTCTCATCGCATCCCTCATGGATGTTATCCTGGTGGCTGATTGGATGGGCGCTTTCCTGCGCGGACGAATGCGTGGCTGGCTGGTTGGCCGGCTGGATGTCTATCTGGATGTCGCAGTTTCATCGGCATGTTGTGTGGCGGCTTCGCCTACTTCCTCAACTACCCTTCCTTGTTCAGCCCGGACAGCGCAGAGCCCAGACGGCGAGGAGTGGGGCGAGAAGATCGGGGTAGTGGGAAGTCGGACGGTGAGGAGCTGGCCGCAATGTACGGCGGTGTTGGGGTCGCTGGCGGGGCGGGGTTAACCCCGTGAGGAAGCGCGAGGAGGCGGCGGAGAGGAGGGCCGGTTGCACGCCGTAAGGAGAGAGCTGGGCGCGAGAGTTGCAGGAAAGCAGTGGAGGATATTTCGGAAGGGCGTTTGTTACTGGAAGGGTTCTGGCCTTCCTCTCTCTCTCTCTCTCTCTCTCACACACACACACACACACACACACACACACGCACACGATAAACTTGGCGGCGGTGTGGGGCCGCGAGGCTTTGCCGTGCAAGGTGTTAATGCTCATATTAACAATGTCCGTCATACAAACGTTCAAGTGAAAATAGAGGATATTGAATTAGTTGTAATATAAAAAATATAGAGGATATTGTACTTGGAAATCCTAGGGGACGAGGCAGTCCCCCGAGGCGCTTTGCGATGGTCCCCAAACTCTCCCCCTTTTGGGACCGGCTTAAGTGGACACAACACATAACATATTGACCCCGGACTTTGACCCGGACAGCACGCCACAGAAAGGCACACTTCAGATGGAGTCGCGGGCTGGGCGGGAAGAGGATGGCGGAGAATGTAAAAATGTCTTTCCCTTTCACCACTTCTCCCTATCATTCTTGCCGCTCTTGCTGACACGTCGGCTGCATGCGCTGCCGGGCTCCGAAGCAGGTTCCACGCACAGGGCGGGCGCACAGAATGGCCGCCACATCTCAACCTCACCGCTTACAAGCAGTTTGTGACTGCCTGTAGAAGCCGGTACACTGTACGGCACACATAACTTCTACAAATACGCGCTAAGCGCGACCGCCAGCATCTCGAGAGGCCTTTTCAGCGGCCAGCTACTACACTGCCACGCCACCGGCCGCAGCATTCAGCACCATAGCGGCCTTTTGCTGCTGATGCCTACGGCAGTGTGTGCAAGAAAGCGTTCATATGTTATAGCCTTAGAGGTTAATAATAACCAGCCGTCGCTGTACCCTGCAATACACCGCCGCGTACATTAGCGCCGTGAACGACGTCGGCTCAGGAAAGTGATGCTGCCAAGCGATACTAAAAAATGACTGGCGTTTCGTTCCAAGAAGCAGATTGAAGTGAATACGCTATCTTATCTAACAGCCCCACAGAACGGGTATGTGCGAGTTCCGGATGCATGTACGACATGTACGATTATACTGTGGGCTGCGAAAGCCGGGGGCTGAGCCGAAACACAGCGCTAGGGGATTCCGGGAGTGCATAGCACCAGTCAGTCTTGTGTGCAGTGCCTCTGACTCATGCGACAACGAACAACGAACTGTATTGCAGTTCAGGAAGCGCCGCCAGCCTGCGTGGCCGGGAGTTAGTCAGAGTGCCCCCGACATGGGGACGTCCTTGACAACAACAGACCAACAGCAGAACGTCCAAAGGAATGGCGCGATGGCAATGAAACACATATCCTGGTCACAGCGGTTACGTTGGTTTGCTGTTTCTGTTTCTCGCTGTGGTTTCTGCTGTTTTAATGCTGGTTAACGCTAAGAAGAAGGTTACGTCGGCACTGGTCTGCGCGCGCTGGTTCCCTCGGACCATCCAGGGACAGCCCCCCGGGGGTAGACCGGATCCCCAGTTTAGTTGTGATCTTCCCCCTGACTCCTTACTCCTAAAACCGTCCTCTCGGAAGACCTCGCGGGAAATACGCCCAGCCGCCCCCCCCCTCCCCCCAAAGGCCCCCGGGCGCTCTCAACCGCACTGGGGGGGATCAGGATAAAACTGAGATCATCAACGGGATTCCTCAGACACATGTTTTCGAGGTCCTGCAGATTATATCATAGGATCCATGACCATGCGATGTCGCTTACACCACGGTTGATTTGGTGGCTTACTATACTGCATAGCCTACATTGACATTTCCTCTACGCAACACAGGCTGACCACGCGTCCTGATGACGTTAAAACGACGCGTCCTGAGAGGAACATGTGGAACAGATTTCGGGTTGACGAATGGAGAGGGGAGAGCCCCCTCACGCCGCCGTAGTGACAAAAGAGCGGATTGACACGCGCGGGTGTCCCTCCTGCAATGAGGGAAGACCTGCATATGACCTTGTGCTGTTGTAACTCTACAAGTGCTACTAGGTGACCATCAGCTCTGGCGCTTCGAAAGCATCCGGCGCTTCGCCCACACGTACCCATAAAAGCATGCGCAAGCCTCCGAAAAAATGCTTATGCAAGAGAAAAACCGTAAGCAGCAAATATGCGTCCACGACTTTTTCAGGTAGTTTTAGCGACTTTTGAACCTGATGTCTTGAGGTACTTCATCGGCGCTAACCGACGCACTTTGCTGCTGCCGCCTTGTACATCTCCAGGATCCAGTTTTTGTCGTACCGAACGTACGGCGTACGTATACCTTACAAACCCACATGCGCTTTCTACTTCTGTCATCTTTCCTCTCATCGTTTCACACTCGTTGGGGGCTGCGTGGACACATCACCACTATAGTCGTACGTGTCGTACCTCACACTGTAGTCACACCAACCCAGTAAGAACCACTAACACCCCCACAACCACAATATAAGATGAATACACACGCAGTTGACAGTGGGAAGAGTACAGCGGGTCCATCGGGTCATCGTACATGGTAAAGCTAGCGGGCGGGGTTGTGTGTGGACATACATACATACATACATACATACATACATACATACGTGACCCCAATTCTTCCGCTGTGTTTCGGCTTCGGCCCCCGGCTCTCGCGGCCCACAGTGTAATCTAAGTCATACATACGTGTGCGCGACTCTGTGGGAGGGTTCGGGGCGGCCTTCTTCTCGGTCCGGTACTATGGGGAAGGAGGAGGGAGGGTAAAACATCGCTGGCACCTGGGAGGCCTGAACAAGCCCGCACCAACCCGCGCCTCCAAGGTCCCCAATCCCCAGTCCTCCCAGCTCTCCCCCACCCTCGAGTGATCCATAGGGTATGCATGGCTGTCTGTCCGTACGTCTCTGCCTGCCATTGTGCGGAATTAAAAACCGCCAGCGCCCCTCCACGGGCCATAAATACACAGCCAGCATCACAACCATCCGCATCGTCATCGACCAGCATTATCAGCCATCCAAAGTGGCACCGAGACCTTTAACACGCCATTGAGTGCGACCTCTCTCAGCTCTTGCTCTTCACCCAATACCCCCAAGGCTATTAAGTGGTACGGCACCATCTCCCCCCTTCACCATCAAACTTCCTAGGTGTGTGAGATCTACCTACAAGCACGTCATCGGTCCGGCACGCCAGCAATCTTGGCCTTGGCAAAGTCGAGGGTGTACATGCGAGCCAGGGAGTTATACCCCCGAATGTCGCCAAAGCGCAGCAGGTTGCCTGGTTTCGAAGAGTGGGATGTTATTATCCGAACGGCCTTAGACAAGTGGTTCCCAGGGGGCTCCGGAGCGGAGGTGATTGCCTTGCGTTGAGTAGTGAGTCCGCAGGTGGGACGTGGGTGTTGGGTTGGCGCGGGTCTAGATAGGGGAGGCAGGGGTACATCTAGAAAGACCAGCAGGGCTCCCTGTTAATACCCAGAAATCCACCGATATGTACCAACCCAGCCAGCTAGCCAGTCAGTCAGTCAGTCAGTCAGTCAGCTCAGCCGCGCACCCGCATCACAGTTCAGGGGGCTGTCCGGCGCGGGGTCGGACATGAGCGCCAGCACTGCCTGACACACCGAGTGCAGGGTCCAGGCGGGGCTCCAGGCGCTCTTGAGGATGTCCAAACAGATCTCACCCGTCTACGCGGAAATGGGCGTGTTGGGGGGGAGGGGGAGGAGGTACGTGTGTAGGGCGGGGGGATCACACCCGCACCCATATGACCCACAACCGTATGAGCGGGTGGGGGAGGGAGATAGTATGTATGTACGTATGTATGTATCTATGTACGTACGTATGTATGTATGTGCACGTGTGTGTTGGAGGGAAGAACCGCTTGTGCCGAAACGCAGGGCCATGTGGGCCATGTGGGCAGTTTAAGGCATGTGTCCGTATTTGCGCATGCATGGCTAGTTCGAAAACGGATAAGGAAAGTGCGGTCAATGTAAAGGTGGTGCGTTTGGCCTTGCATTTGCTCACACCGCTTGGACATACTTTTGCAAGTCGAGTACGGATGCCTGCATGAGCATCTGTGTCTTTCAGCGCAAAGGGATAGCGCAGGGTTGAGGGATGAGCGGAGCGGGGGAAAAGGGGGGTCGGGCGAAATCTGTCTATACGTTAAAACAGCTTACGTGCAGCTCCACGTACCTTGAAATGGACGTTGGGGTGGAAAATTCGCGTGCGATAGCGCACCGACGGCGGCTGGAGCGGATACTGCTCAGGTACGTTGATGACGAGCTCAAAGTTGCCGCCCTCAAAGGGTGTATCCTTGGGACCCTAGGATGCCGAAGGTTACTCCTGTCATCACCATGTGCTCCATCGTTGGTGCACCCCGGGTCTGGTGTTGTGTACTTACCCTGAGCACGGCTCTCCACGCAAATAGGTTTGTTTCGTTTGGGATCAGAGTGATGCCGGTATCCTCCGGTTTCGCTTTGAGTGCCTCCTTGTACTCCTGATTAACCACACACACACCTCTTAGGCTAAAGCCCATGCACTAAATAGTCCCTACGCAACCTGCAAGCGTACATTGCCGATGTACCTTAAGGAGCCGCTGACGAGCGGTGGCCATCCAGTCCGGAAAGTAAAGGCTCTTAAGTTGTAACTGAAACCCTTTACACGCCTAATTATACCTAAGTCACTGAAATGTTCTGGTGTTATTTTGGTGAAAGCGCGAATCCGGTGCGGGTCCCGGCCGAAAACTTCTACAAGGAAAGTCACTTTGATTGCACAAACTCGACAGCTCGCTTTCTACAGCAGTTCTGATGAATGTGGTCAACAAACATTTTGCACTACCTGTATCTTGGAGTGACTGAAACGTTCAGGACTGGGCTGAGTAAACCTATCCTCCGAGACCACCAGCAGAACAAGAAAAGCGGTTGGCGAATGTGCTGTACCCCTGGCATTGTGATCCTGGCCCGCTGCTTCAAGGCCGCTGTGAAAATATATACACAACATCTTTTGCCTGTGGCAGCACATTGTAGCGCCCATTTGCGATGCTGACCTCAAGGGAGTTCCTGAAGACGTCTAACTTTCTATTTAGGAGCCATACGAGTCGGCCTCGGGTTGCTCGTTGCTGTAGTGTGAAGGTGGCCGCCACGCCGGTGCACACAGGCGCTGGCCCAATTCCTTCAAGCACCGGTCGGCCGTGTCGGCTAGGAAACGTAAAGCGCAAGACGAAGGAGACCGAAGTGGAGGTCACAATTAACCTGGATGGCACTGGCGTATGCGTCGCCGAGACGCCCGTCGGCTTTCTCAACCACATGCTTGACCAGATTGCCTCGCACGGCCTCTTTGACCTGACGGTGAAGGCGAATGGCGACACCTGGATCGATGACCACCACACCGTCGAGGACATCGCGCTGGCGCTGGGCACCGCACTCTCTCAGGCGCTGGGGGACCGCAAAGGCATCCACCGGTTCGGCGAATTCAGCGCACCACTGGATGAGGCGCTGACCCACGTTGTTTTGGACCTTTCCGGTCGGCCGCACCTCAGCTGCAATCTGACCATCCCGGCGCAGCGGATAGGCAGCTTTGACACTGAGCTCGTGGAGCACTTTTTCATGTCATTCGCGAACACTTCTGGCACGACGCTTCACATTCGGCAGCTTGCTGGCAAGAACTCGCACCACATTGTGGAGGCGACGTTCAAGGCCTTCGCTCGAGCCCTACGGCGCGCGTGCGAATACGACGAGCGGCGTGCGGGACAGATTGCCAGTTCGAAGGGCGTGCTGACGCAACAGTAATCTCTCTCTCCCCCTCTCCCCTCGTCGTTTTTTTGCTTTCGTCGTGGTGGTTTTTGTGTTTGGGTTGAATTGATCTGGGTTTTGGCTGCAAAGAGCGATTGAACAGCCCCGCCGTAATCCAACTTGGCGTCAATACAGTGTAATGAGCTGTTGACTTAGTGACTAACTGTTTGACGTGCGGACGTCATTAAAGCGGGGGAACGCAGGCAAGTAGGCCCACCAAGGCTGCCAAACCAATGTATTAACAGGATAATGCTGAACGAACTGACCGCCATGGGGACCTGACATAGCCAGGTTAGGACACGGGACCGAACGCACAGCCGAGTGAGCGAACGAATGAACGTGCCAAGGGTCCATGCTGGTGTGGGTGTCAGTCGACGGGGTTTAAGGTAGGGTGCAGGGCACATAGTAGGGTGTGCATTGCTGGCTAATCGTGCCAGCTCTCCTTTCTCGTCGTGACGTTGTCTCTTGCGTCTGGCGTTAGCGGGACGGCAATCGATCTGGGAGGAGCGAAGATTGATGGGCGCCTGGCCGGACAACTCCTTCAAGGGTACTGCTTGTGGCCCCTGTTGTATGTCTCTGTCTGTTTGTGGAGGAGGACTGGGCGCGGATGTATCTAGGGTTTTGCACGTTATAACATGTCGGGAAAGACGTAACGCTATTTTCACACGGCTTCTCGTAGATTTTATGTTATTGTGTTTGCTGTGTAGGTTCTCAAGACATGTAGGAGTGACCAATGGTCAGCTGATTGGATGGATGGTATATATAGGTGCCGTAGGTGGATTTTTTCATGTACACCGCAGCTTGCTTGCGTACTGCATGAAGCGAGGGGTGCGGTCAGCAGCAGGGTGCGCATTTTTTAGCTGTACGACTTGACGGCGTACTCGCCCTTCGGTATCAAGCATGTTTTCTAGGCGGCGCATGTGGTAGCATGAATGAAGGTATCGCATGCTCGCACGCACGCTACCCTACGACCGTTCGCGACCATCAATCAGGGCCGCCGTATCTACTACTTGGCATGTGGTCCTGTCGGTTTGCTCCAGGTGCCTGAGACCCCGGATAGGAAGGGAACGTGTAGGCAACACAGTCAGCAAGCTGAAATGACCAAATGGCCCCTAAGATGACCCACATACTTGAACCTGCATTATTGCTGCGGACCCGAACAGAACTGTTTAGTTGCCAGACCGCTGTCGCGTAGAGCGCAGGAACGTCAAGTGTGTCCGGCCCTAGGCAGATCAACGTAACATGTAGCAATGCAGCCTCACCATAAATACGAAAGATTCCGAAGCAAACATGCGGCTCTTCAAGAACTACTAACGTTTCGCAAAGTCCCACGAACTGTCTGATGTATTCAAGGCTGGCAGCAGGCTGCAGCAGTACAGTAGTCGCGGTCACAAACCCTCATCAAGCTTATATGTAATCACAGCCTTGAGAGCCATCATTGCATGTCAATATCCTAAGGCTTCGAATACGGCGGTAGTACCGGGGCCCCAATTCCATTCTGCCGTCAGGTCTTCCCTCCCACACACACATAATGGCGGCATACATGCCAAGTAACTACCAGCTGTGGCGACACGGCGGCACTCCAGACCATGATGTCGTAAATTCCGATGAGCTTGGCTGTTATGCCTTGCTGATGCGTCCTGAATCGAGACCTCCTTGCAGCTCCGCGCACTGCATGATGACTGACTTCCTCAGGAAAGTCTAAAACCGGTGTCGCACATACAATAGCATAACACGAGATACGACAGATGCCATTCAGCAGAGCCTGATGATGACAAAGGCAAGACAGACAAACAACCGACAGACAGACAAACAGACAGACCCACCGTCTGTCAGATGACCTAAAAGACCTCGAGTCGCCAAACGCGCCATCGTTGCCCACTTATTAAAAAAACGATCCATCCCTGCTTGCCAGGTAGGAATGACAGCATCATCAGCCAGAACTGCTTTGCAACGTGCGTCTTTTCACGGAGCTCCGCATGGATGTGGCCACCACCACCATCATCATCGTCATCATCATCACCATCATCATCACCACCATCATCACCATCATCATCACCATCATCATCACCATCATCATCATCATCATCACCATCATCATCACCATCATCATCACCATCATCATCACCACCATCATCATCACCTCTACATTCAGGTACACAATGCAGCGCCCCAACTCCCCACCTATCATACGGAGGACGACGCCCCACAGAGGACGCTACACACACACACACGCTCGCCACTGCCGTACAGCTGCTAGCAACAGCTTCTGCTGCAGCTACTGCTACAGCTGTGCTGTCGCTCTGTGCGCGCCAAGGCCCTGAAACAGTTAAACAAAGCGTTAGAGGGTCCGCAGTCCCTTTTTGTCCTTCGAGCATCCTCAGGCAACTTGCTCACCCAGCTGGGCGAGGGGGGTAGAGAGGGGGCCCTTAACTCCGCATCCGACAAGGCCGCATGCGATACTCCGACAGACGCACGCACGCACCCCTCCAGAGCCGCCCGCCCCGGGGCCCCATTCAGCGACTACAGTCGCCTAGACAGACGGAGGCGACACGGACCGAAAACTCGTGCAACCCGCTACAACGTGAGGTGCTAATCCCCCTGACGAAGATAATTACACGAATATATGATTGCGAATGCCGTTATCAAGATGTACCGCTTACGCCGCACGTCACCATAAAAAACGTACCTAAATATATATGTTAATTACCAAGCGACACTAGCACGAAGGACGTTCCGCCAACCACTACCCAACCGTCCCAAACTAACCCCAGCAACGAACCGTTTACCTCGGAGAGCCCACATCAGACGGAACGATTTTTCAAACGTGCATGGTCACGAACCCAGAATTTTATGACGGCCTTTACCTGTCCAAATCCTCTCGTGCCGTGCTGCGCCGTGCTCTCTGGTGCCACTGCCCTACCGGCAGTAGTACCGGCAGTAGGTTGCGGAGGGCGGTTTGGTCGATGGCCAGGTAGGGCAATACGAAAGGGAAGTAGTCCACTACCGGCAGGCGACTCCGCACGCACCCACCCACTCACCCATCCATCCATCCAACCGCCCGCCAGCTAGTCGCTTAGCCGCTACAGACCCCTCATCGTGGCTCTCCCCCTCTTCCCCCTCCCCCTCCCCGTCCCCATAGCAAGCAGGCAGGGCGCTAGCACTTGAACCCGAAGTACTCGAGCCCCTCCAAGATGCCCAGCGCCTCCTTGCGGGCGGCCTGAGGCGGCACCGGACCGCACCGGACCGCACCACAGTGCGGAAGATGGAGGGGAGGGAAGGTGTGAGGAGCGGAGGACGAGGAACACAACAGCAGCAGCAGCAGCAGTGGTTAAGCCCAAGCCATGTGCGTGGAAGCACGGCCAAGCGCACCGAAGGTCAGCGGCAAGGAACGGCACACATACATACATGCATACATGCATACATGGATACATGCATGCATGCATGCATACATACATGCATACATGGATACATGCATGCATGCATGCATACATACATACACACACGTTAACACACCGGGCGAGTGATGGTGGGAAGGGGAGGCCATGAGGGGACTCAAAGAGGGGTCAAACATTGCTCCTCGTCTGCAGATGCCGTACTTCCTAGTTTTAAGTTCAAGACGGTTAATATCTTCGTTTACATGTTTTAAATTCCTTCGTGAACGGGTCCGCAGGCTCCCTCCGTCCCCCCTCCCCTCCTCCCCACCATCATCATGCGCTGTTTCCCGCTGGGCAGCGGTGTCTCCGTGGCCTGCCGCTGTTGCGCCCACTGCCTCAGATCGGGCTGCGCGTTACCCACGACAATGGCTAGGTTTTCACCTGTAGGGGGGGGAGGGGGGGAAAGACGAACACGGGGAGGGGGGAGGAGAGGAGGAGAGGAGGGAAATAGTAAAGCATAAAGCAAGAAGCGGTTAACTGCCGACTGACGTCCAAATAGGGGGGGGAAGTATATGCTGCCGCAAGGTAAATGGAACCACTGGCGACACGCCCCACGCACTGACTGCCAAGAGAGCGGGGAGGAGGGAGGAGGTCGCGGTCGCGGTGGTGAAGGGGGAGAGGCAGGAGGCAATGGGGTGGGGTTGTTGGAAGTGATACACACGGTAAAAACATGCACAAGCGTGCACCTCTTCCCCACCCCACCCCACCCCACCCATCCCAGTGATAAGATGAACACGTACTTAAAACACACACAGAACACACGGCCCTTGGCCCGCCCTCCCCTTCCTGGCCTCCCTTCCCTCACTTTACACCCATCCCCGCCCCCAAACCCCCCACACTCCCCTCCCCACGTACCGCTGAGCATGAGGATGTCATTACCCGAGTCCCCGCATGCCACCGTGGAGGCCGTACTGAAGCCGAAGTGGCGCCGTACGTGGTTGAGCGCCTCCAGCTTGCCGGCACGGATAGGAACCACGTCCATGTACCTGTGTACGACACCACAACACACACACACACACGCTCATGCGGCATACGGCGTGCTGTGTGTTCGTGTCCCCCTTTCGTCCCAAAACCTTTCGCCATGAATAGGCTGCAATGCTGCACTCGACCCGTTCGGGGTCCGCTGTAACAAATCGCATACAGCAATGCATATCCCCGTGCTTGTGTTTTGTGTGTTACTTGCATGTCATGCGCTTTATCCCTCCAAATCTCTGACCCAGCTCGCTTCCTGTTTCCCCCCTCCCCTCCCCTCCCCTCCCCTCCCCTCCCCCCACATTTCCCCCTTCCCCCACCCGCTGTTCATCAGCCCCGCCTCAGAGACGCCTTATAACCCAACCCAAATCATCCCCGCCAGGTCCCCCCCTCTTTTTCTCCTCCTCCACCCCCCCACAACCCTCCAACCCTCCCACACCCACT